TTTTTTTTTTTGCTTAAAAATTACTTTTTTAGCTAATGTATACAATCATGAAGAAAAAAATATTTCTATTAATGGGATGTGAGTCCCATGAATTGATTTATGCAAAACAATCGAACAAATTTTTTTTGAGTTGATCGCACTTTATATCTAGGTGTGCGATATGTACATTCGCATTTATTAGTACATATCAAACAGTGAGTATTATTTGTTTTTTTACCATCATTCTTATATTACTAGATAAGATAAACACTCATGAATCACGGACAAAGCGATGACGTCATTAGCAATAAAATAATCATAATAAAAAGTGATACGCTCACACTTTTTGGTGCATATATGTATACACAGCTGTACTGTAGATATACCCTGAAAAAATTGTTCGACGAACCTCTAAAGAGATTGTGCCAGAATTAGTCGCAATCGGGTACAATTTGGCACAATTTAGTCGCAACTCATACGGGTGTTATTGGAGATCAATTAGTCTTGACTCATCCCTTACGAGTATAATTGGAGATCAACTAGTCGCCGTCTAATCTCTAAGGGGTACAATTACATATTTAATGATATGTAGGCACTTAGTCAACGAAATTTCATGTGCGACGTTGGCATGTAGAGAGAGTATTTGCTTAGCAAACCTTTTTATTTTTACTTTTTGAAGTGACTTGTCGCAGAGGAAGAAGTCGCTTTTTATACTAATTCGGGTATAAAGGTAAACTATTCTCATAAGACATGCTCAAACAACAACGATCAGCTCCACTGGGTATGTGTGTACGTAAATTATTGGTAACACAAATTTTGTGCCAAGCGAATTTTCATTTCAGACATCTTCAATTTACAGTAGCCAAACAAGGCTTTACTGGATGCAAAAGTCACAAGTGTTAGCAAATAGAAGTTTCAATAACATTTGTCGCTGTAGACAAATAAATAATAACTAGAGTGCCAGTTACTGTCGAAATTCGACAGTTTTTCTAGTTTTAGAAGCCATGGAGAGGTTTTCTAACTTAACACGTAGCCATACTTATACGGTACAAATTAACTAATCGGAAAATCTTCTGCTAAAACGTAACAATTTTTTTTCTTTATCTGAGAAGGTCTTTGGAGGACTTCGGCAGGACTTGGCATTGACCCGATACATTCAAGTTTATCGATAAATTTCGATGATTTGATACATATCGATAGTTCGATGAATTTCAAGAACACTAAAAACTCAAAAAAAATCGTTAACTCGACCAAATTCGATAACTGTGAAATTCGATGGCTCGATAAATTTCGATAACTCAAAAATGTAAAAACTTTGGACACCTTTATAAATATTTACTTTTGACATCTCCACATTTTTTGAAAACTATCTTAACATTTTGAAAACTCGCTACACTCTGTTAAGACGATTAAATTCGATAAGAAGTGATAAATCGATAAGCTTATATAACCTTGAAATTTCGATAAATGGATATATATTGAAAATTCCATAAACTTTGCTTTGTTGAACCAACCAATCTCAGTAGATCAATAATTATCGATAAATCTGAAGTTGAAAGAAGTCCATGCATTACGACACCTCGATATATTTAGTTAAGTCTATAAATAATGATAATTCAATAAATATTGATAACTTGATACATTTCGTTAATTTGACAAATTTCGTTAATCCCACACGACAACTCAGTAAACATTGATCAGTTTGAATAATTCGATACGTTGCGATAACTTAATAAGCATGGATAAATTTCGATAATTATAAACTTCGATGATTCGATAAATTTCAGTAACCTTTATGGCTGATTTTATTTCGATTCCTATCTTTTAACCTAATTCTTATGTATTTCTCATTGTTTCCATTTTCGCCTTTATCTCAATTTTCGTCTTTATCTTCACTTTTGCCTTTTTTTGTCTTCATCGTTCTCACTTGCTTCTT